TCTTGAATGTGTTCTAGTTCATTGTTCTTGGTTGTAAAATAATAGCTAGAATATATATTGTGTTCTGTTGCATGTATATAGGATATTTGAAAATTCTGTACTACATTGTTTTGAAAACTTAGTAATGCATTTCTCCCAAAATTCTGGAATGTGTGTTACATATAAATGGTGAGTTTTAAATCATTAATAAACAGATTTCATTTGAGCCATGTTTTCTAGAAGAGTTGATTTTATGGTCTATGCTCTGCTGATGTGCATTTAAAAAAAAACAAACTCACTGCCATGAAGTCAGTTCCAACTCATAGCGACCCCCATTGGGTTTCCAAGAATAAATTTTTGCAGAACCAGACTGCTGCCCATCTTTCTTCCACAGAGCAGCTGGTGGATTCAAACCATTGACCTTTTGGTTAGCAGTCAAATGCCTTACCACTACATGACCGGAGCTCCTTGTTCTTTAAAAAGAACATTGGAATTGTACTTTCAATTGCTCCATTGAGGTATGTTGACGAATATAAATTGCACATATTTAAAGTATATCATTTGATAAGCTTTGACACCTGTGAAACCATCACAATTACTGAACATGCCCCTCTCCCTCTTCTCTGCCCTCCTCCCCAGGCAACCACTGATCTGCTTTCTGTGACTGGATTAGTTTGCATGAAATTGGATTTTAAATTTGAATTGTTTTTTTATTTCCATAGAAATTGGATCAGGATCTTAATGAAGTCAAAGCTCGAGTAGAAGAACTGGACAGAAAATACTATGAAGTAAAAAACAAGAAAGATGAATTACAAAGTGAAAGAAAGTTAGTATAGACTGAAATATGCCTTAATTTTTTTTTCAGCTGTGCTTTTTTTTTCAATTGTGATTTGAGTGAAAGTTTACAGAGCAAATTGGTTTTCCATTCAACAGTTGTTACATATTATGTTTTGTGACATTCACTACAATCCCCACAACTATAAACAGTGTTCTTCCCACTTCCTGCTCCCACTCCTGTTCATCCTTCTTCCCGTCCCCTTCCACCTTCCTAGCTCTGTCCCTGGGCAGATGTTGTCCTCTTGATTTCATGTGGTTGATTGTTCTCATGAGCACATACTGTCCTGGTATTACTGTTCACCTTATAAAGCCTGTCTGTCGTTTAGCTGAAAGGTGAATCATGAACAGTAAGTTCAGTTCCTAGCTTGAAGGATGTCTAAAGGCCATGGTTTGGGAGTTCCAACATCTTCAGACCAGTAAGCTTGGTCTTTTTCATGATTTTGAGTTTTGTTCCACATTTTTCTCCCACTCTATCCAGGACCTCCTATTGTCATTCCTTTCAGAGGGGTTAGCAGTAGTAGCTGGGTACCATGTAGTTCTGGTCTCAGGGTCATGGAGACTGGGGTTCACATGGTCCATTAGTCTTTTGAACTAATTGTTTCTTGCATCTTTGATTTTTTTCACTCTCCTTTGCTCAAGATGAGGAAAGACCAATAGTCGCTCCTTAGATGGCTGCTCATGAACCATTAAGACCCCAGTCACTACTCACCACAGTAGGATGTAGAACAGTGTCTTTGTGGACTATATTACGCTATTTGACCTTAGTGTCCCCTGAGACTATGGTCCTGAGCCTAGCTACTCATTCCTTCAAATTGTTTGATTATGACTTAAGTTTTCATAACTCTGCCCCCCTGTGTGCCATCCTGGATTCATGGATATATTTGTAGCACATATAAATACCAAACAAAAAACTAAATCCACTGCCATCAAGTTGATTCCAACTCATAGCAATCCCCATAGGGTTTCCAAGGCTTTAAATCTTCACAGAAGCAGACTACCTCATCTTTCTCCCATGGAGGTAGAGTGGCTGGTGAGTTGAAACCACCAACCTTTTGGTTAGCAGCTCAGTGCTTAACCACAGCACCACCAGAGCTCCTTATATATAAATACATAGGTAGAGATACCCTCTGTCAATACATCTTATATATATATATTTGTGGTTGGAGTCCCATTCATCTTCCCACCCCGTTCAGCTTGAGTCTCTGTCTACGTATCCACTTGTAGGTTATTGTTAGTACTGTTCTTGTGGGATTGTGTGTGTAATAGTATTCATCTTTGTTGCCTTTCATTTTTGTGCTCCTCTTTGTGTCTTTTACTGCCTTGATAATTTTGTGCTGACCTCCCTTTTATGGTATATTGCTTTTCCCTTCACCCAAGTTAATACATGTCTACCCTCTAGTTGGTGATTTACCCTCCTTCCCCTCCCATCGTGGTAACCTTCAAAGAATGATTCTTTCTGTGTGTTAACCTTTTCTTAACTTTTTACAGTAGTGATCTCACATAGTAATTGTCCTTTTGTGATTGACTAATTTCACTCAGCATATCTTCCACTAGGTTCATTCATGTGATGGTGTTTCACAGATTCATCATTACTCTTTAACATTGCATAGTATTCTGTTGTGTGTATGTACCACCGTTTGTCCATTTATCCACTGGTTGGCACTTAGGTTATTTCCATCTTTTTGGTATTGTGAACAGTGCCACAGTGGACATGGATATGCATGTAACTGTTTGTCTTGTGGCTCTTATTTCTCTGGGATGTATACCTAGTAGTGGGATTGTTGGATAATAATGCTTCTTTCTGTTTCCAGCTTCTTAAAGAAGCACCATATTGCCTTCCACAGTGATTGTACCGTTTTATAATCCCACCAGCAGTGTTACAGTTTTTATATTATACATTAACCATTCAAGTTTTATTTCCATATTTTAAACTGTAAATTGTTAGTACATCTTTTTAGGCTTTTAAAATGAAAGGCGCTCTCATTTTTATTGATTAGTTACCTGTGGAGAGAGGAGAACGCAGAACAGCAAGCTCTTGCTGCTAAAAGAGAAGACCTTGAAAAGAAGCAGCAGCTGCTTAGAGCGGCAACAGGAAAGGTAGGCGGGCTCTTTCATTACTTCACTTTACAGGGAGTCAGTGAGTCGCTCTTACTACACAAGAATTTCTTGGTTTTCAAACTGTGGGTCATTGGTTCCAGGTAATTAACAGGAGAGCAGAGTACATGCCACTTATCCTATAAATATGAAACAGTAGGGATAGTAAGCAGCCTCACTACCACCCATGTACTATTAATGATAGCACTTTGGATTTTTAGATGAAAAGCCCCTTTTTAATGTTGGTGGCTAGTGTTACAGAACAGAACGTATATTATAAGGTATTACATGTATTTGGCATATTTCAAGGGGTGATGTGTGTTGAAGAGATGTTTAGCTTAATCTGTGGTATATTTGTTTAATGTATAGAATGAATAATAGAACTATTTTTTATTAGTAGGAGTGTCATTGGCTATACTGTTGTAACATTTTTAACTTCTAACAATTTAATAGGCCATTTTAAATGGAATAGATAGCATAAACAAAGTGCTAGACCACTTTCGTCGAAAAGGAATAAACCAGCATGTTCAAAATGGCTATCATGGCATTGTGATGAATAACTTTGAATGTGAGCCAGCTTTTTACACATGTGTGGAAGTTACTGCTGGAAACAGGTAATATTTTTTGCTTGATATTTAGGGTTTTTGAAGAAAGAGGGCATGGGATAACGTAAGAAACAACTTATGTAATATGTCTTCCATTATCATCTTGTATCCTTGGTTCTTTATTTAACCTTCTGGTTAAAGATGTAGGTGCTGAGATTTGTTCCTGATTGTAGAAGGTAAACTTTCCCCTTTTGGAACTTTCTTTATCTATGCCCCGCCCCCCCCCCCCCCCCCCGACACACACACACAAATTTTTTTAATAGCTTTTTGTGTGTGTGTGATGTAAATTGGGTTGCATAGAACAAAATTAATTATTTTATATTTAAATGTTTATGTTATTCTAAAGTCTAGCAATGAAGATGTGTCTTGTTCTGTTTGCATGTAGGTTATTTTATCATATTGTTGATTCAGATGAAGTCAGTACGAAGATTTTAATGGAATTTAATAAAATGAATCTTCCTGGAGAAGTTACTTTTCTGCCTCTCAACAAGTTGGATGTTAGGGATACTGCCTATCCTGAAACCAATGTGAGTCGGTGTGTGTTAAGGTCTAACTCTCTTTCATTAAGTTACCTTTTCTTATTTGGTTGCTTTAGCACATGCTAGTGCCAGGCACTGCACATTGGGAATCAGTGGTCAGTGAGAGAAACATGCCCTTCTTTCCATGGAATGTACTTGATGAGGGAGAAAGAGGTCACAGCTAAGACATAAATCATTGTAAATGTGCAAAGTGTTGAAAAAACATAAGTATAGGATATTATTGGAGTCTGTCCCAAGTGACAAAATTAAGGCTATTGTGGATAGCATTTTTTCAAAAAAAACTTTTGTGGTTTATAAATTAAATTTTAAAAAATCTAGCAAGATAATGGGAGCTCTGGTAGCATAGTGCCTAAGGCACCTGACTGCTAACCAGAAGCCTAGCGGTTCAAACCCACCAGCCACTCCTCGGAAGGAAGATGGGGCAATCTACTTCTGTAGTGATACTGCTTCAGAAACCCAAGGAGGGGTCGCTATGAGTCGGGTCCGACTCCACGGCACACAACAACAGCAGCAGCAGCAAGATAATAGACTCTGAAAGTGTACTGTTGCTTTTGTTACTAGTTAGTACACTTTATTTATTTGTTTCGTAATTTATTTTGCTGTTGAGATTACACATGGCAAAACAAATCAGTTCAATAGTTTTCTTTTTCTACATGAACAATTCAGTGACATTTTCACTGCCCCCTAAGGTTCCAATCTAATCTTTGGAATTGCTTTTGTCTGTTGGATCCTATATATGTAGAATGATCTTAAAAGATCATGATACAAGGCAGGCATTCTTTTCTAGTTTAGCTAAACTATTGTTTGGTTTTAAGAGAACTTTGGGAAATTTTTGGCCTAAGCTTTAAAGAGTATCTGAAGGCAGTAGTTTTAGGGGTTTATCCAGCCTCCATAGCTCTAGAAAGCCTAGAGTCCATGAGAATTTAAAATTCTATTCTGCATTTTCCACTTTTTGATCAGGATTCTTCTATAGAACCTTTGATTAAAATGTTCAGTAATGGTAGCTGGACACCAGTTAGTTCTGATGTCATAGCAAGGAACTCTGGTGGCACTGTGGTTAAAACATTGGGCTGCTAAACAATAAGTCAGCAGTTCAAACCCACCAGCCACTCCATGGGAGAAAGATGAAGCAGTCTGTTTTCAAAAAGATTTATACATAGCCTTGAAAACCCTATGGGGTAGGTCTATTCATCCTATAAGGTCTCTATGACTTCTAATTGACTTGTGTGCATGGGTTTGGGTTTTGGTTTGGTCTCATGGCAGAGAAGGCAGTTACTCATGAAGGCAATTAGCCATGCATTTCATATCCTCTTCTTATTCCTGACTTTCCTTCTTCCTTTACTGCTCCAGGTGAGTTAAGACCAGTTTCTGTGCCTTGGATGGCTGCTTATAAGCTTTTAAGCCCCCAGGCACTATACAGTGAACTAGGGGGTAGAAGCAATAAACATGTTAATAGGCCAATTAACTGGGTCCCATGAAACAATGACCCTAAACCTCCAAACCAAAGAACCAAATCCCATGAAGTGTGTGGTTGTGTATAAGCAGCCTCAGTAGCTACTCTCAGTTATTGTAAATGTATCTATCACATAACTTTTGCCAGTTCAACTTTGTGCAGGTATACAGCTTATTGACCACATTTTCAGTAATCAGCTATACAACCCTACCCTTAATCAATGTGATTTTTCCATCACCATAAACCAAAATTGTGGCACACTTTAAATTGGTTCAAGATGCTCACTTTAGACACTTCTTGAAAAAAACATATTGCTTTGAGTATTTGGCTTCAGAATGTTGATGGCAGTAGCAATTATTTTATCATCATCTAAAGTTAAAACCCACCAGCCACTCCTCGGAAGGAAGGTTGGGCATTCCTACTTCCGTAGTGATAACTGCCTCGGAAACCCAAGGAGGGGTCGCTAGGAGTTGGGGCCGACTCGATGGCAAATAACAACAACAACAACAACAAAGTTAAAACCCTTTATGAGAATGTGCAGCAGTGTAAGTAGAACAGTGAGAATCTTGTAAGCTGCTGAAGGATACAGCTTTCCAATCTATAAATAATCTTTGAAGTTTTGGGGAGGGAAAGAATGAGTCACAAACATGCAAATGAAGTTAAGACAGAAAAGAATGCATATGGTGTGGTTCCATTTAAACTAACTTCATAAACAAAACTAAATTATAGGTGATGAAATTAGAAAGAAATGGAAGGAAGTGATTATTGCAAAAGCCATATAGTAGTGGTTACCTCTAGTAAGTTACCATTGTAGGTTGCCACTATGTAAGCACCATGTGATTGGGAAGGGGCTCTGGGGTGATGGCAGTGTTCTGTTGTTGTCCTGCATAGTGGTTATATGGGTGTCTTCTTTATTAATTAAGCTTACCATATGCTTACTGCATTTTTCTGTATATAGGATATAGGCCATAATTTTTCAAAGTTACAGATTCTAACAGTTTAGGAGAAAAAGGAAAATGATCATTTAATTTATAAAATTAAAACATTTTGAGGAAGGACTATTAGACTATGAGACAGACACTATTCTAAGTATTTCATATGTATTAATTCCCTTAGTCTTCACAGCACTACAGTGAGGGTACTGTTATTATCCCAGTTTTGTAGACAAAGTAACTGATATCTAGGGAATGTAAGCAGCTTGTCTAGAGTACACATCTGATTAGTGGGAGAACTAGGATTTGTAAGTGGGCAGCCTGACTTCAGAGCCATCGAACTCTTTATCACTGTGCTATACTGTTGAAAACCTTGCTAACTTCTTCACTATAAAAACTAATAATTTTGAAATATAATATGAAGGCATTTTTGTTTATTTGTATTTCATAAAGATGGCATGTATAGAAATATTCCTGATAACATTAAAAAAAACATTTTTTTTTTTTAATCTCTTTGCTTGCTGATTTAGGATGCTATTCCTATGATCAGTAAACTGAGGTACAATCCCAGATTTGACAAAGCTTTCAAACATGTGTTTGGAAAAACACTTATTTGTCGTAGCATGGAAGTTTCAACCCAGCTAGCCCGTGCTTTCACAATGGACTGCATTACTTTGGAAGGTTGGTAGTAGTAATTCTTAGCTTTGAACAAATAAATTCTGATAAATCATTTTACACATGTAATATGCTCTGGTAGCATAATGCCTAAGGCATGTGACTGCTAACCAGAAGGCTGGCAGTTCAAACCCACCAGCCACTCCTTGGAAGGAAGGTTGGGCAATCTACTTCCTCAGTGATACTGCCTTGGCAACCCAAGGAGGGGTTGCTGTGAGTCGGGTCTGACTGGACGGCACATAACAACAACAATATGTCTGATGAGTGAAACTTAAAGTAATTCAGAGTCATGTTTTGAGAGTACTTAAGAACTCAGCGTGCTTTGTGAGAAACAGAATAGTTTTGTAAATATCTGAATTCCTGAAAACAAGAGTGAGTTTACTTTTTGCTCCTAAAAATATAAACAGTAATTGTTTATCAGATATAAAAGTCAGTATTAAGATTTTTCAGTTATTTCTTTCCCAAATAGCTACTTTGTTCAAGTCAGTACAAACAGAGTACACATTGTATTTAGTTGATATGTCCTTAAGTCTAATCATTTGGTCTATAACCAGGATTCTTAACCCTTTTGGCACCATGCGCTTCTTTGGCTGTTTGAAATCTGTGGGCCCATTTTCAAAATCATGTTTTTAAATGCATAAAATAAAATAATTTAGATCCCAAAGGAAACCACCAAATGATTATCACACCATTTTAGAAAATACACAGTAATATGTTTCTTCTTTAATGTGTTCAGAAACAAGATTTGGCTGTGGGTCAAATGACTGCCATAATTTTGAAGTAGTGATGCATGTAAATAATAATTTGGTATCTGTGGTAAGTGTAATCTGATAGAAAATAGCTGTGATTTCTCTTTGTAACAAAGTCATGGTGTTACTGTAATTCCTGTCTCATTTATTACAGAAGGAAATGCTAAATTTCATTAAAAATTAATGAAAATAAAAATGTAAATTCCCACTGAAGTCACATCTCACAAAGTTTATTTCTGGAACCTAAGTTAAGAATACCTGTTCTGTAGACTGTCCTGCCCTTGACTTTTGTTTTTTCATTATCTGTACAATGTTATTTATTTATTGACAAAAGAAGATAAGCCCACCATTCACCCAGCTTTATATCTGTACATTTTTGTTGATGATGAAGTGTTTACGAATAAGTTGGGAACCAATGCTTCACTCTAAAATTTAAGCATGTCTCTCCTAAGAGTAAGACTTTCTATGTAACTATAATACACATTTGTTACACTTAAGAAATTTTTTTTGAGGGAAAATAGATTTTTAAGTTTTTATGAAGTATGTGTATTGTTGTCTCCAGTCTTTTTTCTTCTGAACCAATTCTAATAATAACAGAAATATTATTATATCCAACACTCCACAGAATCAACTTTTGCTTTCAGTTCTTCATGTTGCTAAATCCAGTGGCCAAATATCAGTCCTGATTTTATTGGCTTATTAGCATCTCAGAGTTGATCACTTCTTTAAGTGCATGTTTTTTCTGCTTTCCTGTGTCCTGTTCCCTTAGTTCTCCTCCTTCGTCATGGATCTCTCTTCTGTTGCCTCCGTTGCTAGTTGCTCTTCTCACCAGTTGTAGTGTTAGCAGGTCCCCAGTGCTCATTTTGCAAACATCTTTTGTCCGTTGTCATTCACTACCAGGTGATAGCACTTAATGCACGATATTACAAAACAAAGATCAAACCCCTTGCCCTTAAGTTGATTTTGACTCATGGTAACCCCATGTGTTCCAGTGTAGAACTACTTCATAGGGTTTTCTTTTAATCTTTTTTTTTTTTTTTTGGTGAAAGTTTACACAGCAAATTGTGTTCCCATTTGATAATTTCTGTACAATTTGTTCAATGACATTAGTTATATTTTTTTAACAACGTTATCAACATTGTCTTTAATTGCCTTCTGATTCTATTTCTAGAGTTCTAGCTTCTCTGCCTCCTTACCTGCTCATCTTTCCTTCAGAGTAATGGTTGACCTTTTGGTCTCATGTAGGTGGTGTTTTAATGGAGCACAGTACACATGGGTAATATCCTTTATTTTCTGGGCCACCTGTTATTTTGCTAAAATGTGACCTCAGGATAGTTTTTACTTCAGTTTAAAGAGTATCTCAGAGTGATAGTCTCAGGCAGTCTTCTAGTCTCAACTGGTCTAGTAAGTCTGAACTTTTTAAGAATTTGAGTTCTGTTCCATGTTTCTCTCCCAGTCTGTCAGCACCCTGTTCAGAGAGATCAGTAGTGGTAGCTATGCACCATCTAGTTCTTGTGTAGGCTATTAATCCTATGTTGTTGTTGTTGTTATGTGCCGTCATGTTGGACCCTATTCATTGCGACCCCTCCTTGGGTTGCCGAGGCAGGATCACTACCGAAGTAGATTGCCCAACCTAGTTTATTCTCTGAGCCTTTGGTTTCCTTCTTTCTCTTTTGCTCCTGATGAATAGAGAGCAATAGTTCTATCTTAGATGGCTGCTCACAAGCTTGTAAGACCCTAGATGCTACACATCTCACTAGGTTGCAGAACATGAACTTGGTGAACTATATTATGCCGATTGAAGGTGTTTACCTGTGTTTTATTGACTATATGAAGGCATTCGACTGTGTGGATCATAACAATTACAGTTAATATTGCAAAGAATGGGAATTCTAGAATACTTGATTGTACTCATGAGGAGCCTATATGTAGACCAAGAGGCTGCCATTCGAGCAGAACGAAGGGGTGCTGCATAGTTTAAAATCAGGAAGGGTGTACATCAGGGTTGTATTCTTTCACCTTTCTTATTCAATCTATATGCTGAGCAAATGATCTGAGAAGCTGGACTATATGAAGAAGAACATGGCATCAGGATTGGAAGAAGACTCATTAAGAAACAACCTGTGATATGCAGATGACACAACTTTGCTTGCTGAAGGTGAAAATGACTTGAAGCACTTACTGATGAAGATCAAAGAGTACAGTCTTCAGTACACATTACACCTCAGTATAAAATGAAAATCTCACAACTGAACCAATAAGCAGCCTCATGATAAATGGAGGAAAAATTGAAGTTGTCAGGGATTTCATTTTACGTGGATCCACAATCAGCACTCAGGAAAGCAGCAGTCAAGAAATCAGATGTCGTATTGCACTTCTGCAAGGAACCTCTTTAAAGTGTTAAAAGAGCAAGGTTGTCACTTTGGAGACTTAAGGTGCGCCTGACCCAAGCCATGGTATTTTCAGTTGCTTCATATGCGTGTGGAAGTTGGAAATAAATAAGGAAGACTGAAGAAGAGTTGATGCCTTTGAGTTGTGGTATTGATGAAGAATACTGAAAATACCATGGTCTGCCAGAAGAACAAATAAATCTGTCCTGGAAGAAGTGTGGCTAGAATGCTCCTTGGAAGCGAGAATGGCCAGACTTTGTCTTACCTATTTTGGTCAGGTTGTCAGAAGGGACCATTCCCTGGAGAAGGATGTCATGCTTGGTAAAGTGGAGGGTCAGCATAAAAAGAGGAAGACCCTCAACTAGAAGGACTGACACACCAACTACAGTGATGGGCTCAAGGATTGTGAGGATGGGGCTGGACCAGGTAGTGCTACATTCTGTTGTACACAGGATCGCTGTGAGTCTGAGTTGACTTGATGGCATCTAACAACAGCAAAGTCCTAAGCCTTCAAACCCAGAAAGCCAATCTCATAAGGTGTTTGGTTATGTCCGAGAAATACCTAAGAAATTTAACATTAACTCAGTATCATATGAGAAGTATCCAGATTCAAATTCTCAGTTGTCCCAAAATGTTTTTCTATCCAGTATCCAGTAAATTAAGGATGCATGCATTGTGTCTTCTCTTTAGAGTCGTTTAATGTAGGACATTTCCCCCGTTCCTCCCTTTTGGCTTTCCATGCTACTGACTTTCTTGTAGAATGTCTCATTTTCTGGATTTGTCTTTATAATGATGAGATTCAGGTTTGACATTCTTGACAGGAGTATTACATGAGTGATGTGTACTTATTTTGCATCATAGAATATCAGTTTGTCCCCCTGTTGGTGTTGCTAAGTTTGATCACTAGCAGATCTCTCAGTTGTAAAGATGCATTTATCTTTATAATTAGTAAGTATTTATTAAATATTTATAGCATTTGATTAATTAAATGACTATAAGTCAATTTATTATTGAATAAAGAAGTTATTCTACAGAATTACTACCTTACTTTTTTTTAATAGGTGACCAAGTTAGTCATCGGGGTGCTCTAACTGGAGGTTATTATGACACAAGGAAATCTAGACTTGAATTACAAAAAGATGTCAGAAAAGCAGAAGAAGAACTAGGTGAGCTTGAAGCAAAGCTCAATGAAAACCTACGCAGAAATATTGAAAATATCTTTTTTGTCTTGTGCTTAATGATAGTTACTATGGAGAAAGAAGTGTTTTGGTCATAATATATAATCGTTTGTGTGTTAGATGTGTTTTCTTACATCCAGTGGGGAAATTTTTCATTAGCTGTTTTATTTAAGCACTGCTTGTCTATTTAACTTCTGAAGACTAGGAAAAAATGAAAACTTTAAATATTGATCCTCTGCTTATCTTTTTGTTAAGTAGCTAATACCAATGAGTCTACTTTTTGGGGGAAAGAACCTGAGGAACAAAGAGCTTTTGTTTAAATAGGTTTTATCTAATATTTACCATATTAGGTATTAAAACTGAGAAACTTAAAAATATTTATTAATTAGTTGAAAAGTAACAGCAGTACACCATTGCATGTTAACATGCATATTTTTTAACGAGAAATATTTTCTAAAACAAATGTTTATTAAGAAGAATGACATTGTTTTACGTTTTTGCAAATTTGGAGTGTCTAGCTTAAAAGACAGCTGGTTCTGAGTCATCTATTTTTTATGACATGTTTTTTTTTTGTTGAGAATATGCACAGCAAAACACATGCCAATTTGACAGTTTCTACAGGTACCATTTAGTGGCAGTGATACAACGTGTTTTACTGTGCGTTTATAGCTTCTACACTATCAGTGCAAGCTTCAGCACAGAAAAGGGCAATGAAACATCTTGCTTTTGATCTTGTAGGAATCTCCATATTACACTTTTGAACTACTCACATTTGGCAAGATGTAAACACAAGGAAAATATTGGGAAATAACTAAGGAAAAAGAGGATGTTGGTAACAACTACCTTCCCGTATTTGATAATCCAGCTAGATTTAATTCTTCCATATTGGGCAAGGCCTACTCTATATATGAAACTCTGTAACATAGCATAACATAACCTAACTCTGTAACATAAGCATACTAGACTATGTAATTGATATTTGTTGGATGAAAAGATAAAAGAATATATGTAGTATTGTTAGATTGGATTTGGTTTCCTTTAACATTTTTCAAGAGTTTTTTTTAATATAAGTTAGTAGTAAAATAGTATCCATGTTATTTGGGAGGTGAAATGATAGAGTGGAATATTTTAAGCTGCTTTTATGATTGAATTCATTTAGTGTGATATTTAATTCAGCATAATTATTGTCCACAAATTTGAGGAAATAACTGTTACTTAGAGGTAAATAGAAGGGATAAACAATGTTATGTTTATAAGAACTGAAGAGAATTAGGGGTGTATGGTATATTTACAACCTGGAGAAAATTTTCCTTAGCCTTGTATATGGATTAATAATGAAATTGATCAGTTGATGAACCAAATGCAACAGATAGAGACCCAGCAAAGGAAATTTAAAGCATCCCGAGATAGCATACTATCAGAAATGAAGATGCTGAAAGAGAAGAGGCAGCAGTCGGAGAAAACCTTTATGCCTAAGGTACATAAGTATATGGTTTTTGTTGTAGAGTTGTTTTAATAGTACAGATTAAGAATGGATCGTTGGTTATATGGGTTATTCTTGAGTTTCATATGTTCCATTTTTGTTTCAGACCCATACTTTTGGATATACCTTCATCTGTCTATATGACACTTAGATCTGTCGGCACTTAGAGTCTTTTATAGGCCACATTCAAATTTCATTGGACAAATAAGCATTTGAGCTATGGCATATATTGGATGACAGTTGATACTAATTTTTGTCAATAATTTTTGTTTGTAAAACACTGTGGAATTACTTGAATACTTTATTATGTTTTGTCCATATTGTATTACCATGAGTAAAAGACAAACTCAGTTATTGTTTTGCAAGTGATAATAAATATTGGTCTAATGAACTTGAAGAAGTTTTGACAATGTATTGAATTTAAAAAGTTGCCATCGAGTCAACTCTGACTTGTAGCGATCTTATACGACAGAGTAGAACTTGCCCGTAGGGTTTCCAAGGCTGTAAATCTTTATGGAAGGAGACTGCCACATCTTTATCCTATGGAACTGCTGGTGGGTTTGAACCACTGACCTTTCAGTTAGTAGTCAAGTGCTTAACCACTGTACCACAGGGCTCCTGTAGTGTGTAAATAATACTGAAACAGCAAAGAGGGGAGAAAAAAAAAGAATTGCCCACAACTTTATTACCTTAACACATCTCACAGTTTTTTCCTTTTGTTTTTATGAATATACATGAAGACTTTTATTTATATCATTTAATCATGGCATAGGATCTCTTCCACATACCTCCATAGCATTGCATCATAAACATTTTTCTTGTTGCTGCATAATCCTAATTATCAATTTTAATGGATATCTAATATTTAAGTTGTTAGATTATTTATCTCACTTGAATATTGAATATAGACTGTTTCCAATTTTTTACTGTTATAATTAGTTCAGTAACTAGTACCTTTTTTAATAAATGTATAATCTGTCATATAGCAACGTAGTTTGCAGAGTTTGGAAGCAAGTTTGCATGCTATGGAATCCACTAGAGAATCATTAAAAGCAGAATTGGGAACAGACTTGCTTTCTCAACTTAGTCTGGAAGATCAGAAGAGAGTAGATGCACTGAATGATGAAATTCGTCAGCTTCAGCAGGCAAGTACAGCTGACAGGGAAAACTTCCATTGATACTGGCTATCATGAAAAGTTCCTTACTACATAAAGGAATGGAATATTAAGAACACATAACATGAGACTTGGACTTCTAGTATCCATAAGATTAAGATTTCATACGTTTTTCTAAACTGTTGATACATAGAATGTTTGTTTTCTCCCATTTTATTTAATGCACATTTATTAGTAAGCCTGAACTGTTGGCTTTGCCATATTTATTAATTTGTATACCTTTACATATTTAATAATACGGTTTTGATTAAACATTCCAGTAACACTTACTTTGGGATGTAGAGATAAAAACAACCAACACTGAGTCCGAAAAAAACAAGAAGCAAGGAAAGAATAATACTTTGGGGAGCATGCCTTATGAAAAGGAAGGACAAAAACTTAGAAAGTATTTAGAATAGATAAAAGAGAGTGAATACATGAAAGAGAAAATGAAGAAAGTATTGGGCTTTTGAGAGAAGTGTAAGATCCCATTTCAGCACATATGAGCACCAGTAATGTGGGGACATTTATGTATGAGAAGTGTGTGTGCTTATGTGGACAACTAATTTTTTTCATCTTAATTCTAGGAAAACAGGCAGTTGCTGAATGAAAGAATTAAATTAGAGGGTATTATTACTCGAGTAGAGACATATCTCAACGAGAATCTGAGAAAACGCTTAGACCAAGTAGAACAGGTATGTTGTTTATTGAGGATTCCTTGAAGACCTTACTTCCTGAAAGTGGTTATGTGAAAGTCTCTGTCCCAGAGCATGGGTTTGGGAATGAGAGGATAGCAGTCTGACCAACTGCCCTGGGGTTGAGTTCTAGCCTGTGATCTTACATAATTCACTTAATATTTCTGAGCCTCAGTTTCCTCCTATGTAAAGTAACTACAATAGTGTACATATTCTGTATGTTACTGTACTGCTCGGGAGCTATGGATATTTATCAGAGTAGTCACATGTTGAGAAATGTTCTAGTAATTACATCATTACTCCCCACCCCCACCCCCGGGTGCTGTTAGTATTTGCAGTTACATGAAGTATATTGGCTTTCTTGAATGTTTATCCAAACATAACAACAACTATAGAAACTATTGGACTATAGAAACTATCTTAACATTTGGAAAGTAACAAAATTTACATTTTATAGTTTAATACTCTTAAATTCTTTTTGTGTTAAAGGAACTTAATGAACTGAGAGAAACAGAAGGGGGTACTGTTCTCACTGCCACAACATCGGAACTTGAAGCCATCAATAAAAGAGTTAAAGATACTATGGCACGTTCAGAAGGTGAATTTCTTTCAGTGAATTTTTTTTTTTTTGGAATTTAATTAAATTTAAGTTACTCGTTTTATAAAATTGTTTAGAACAAAATGAATTATCCAGATAGGCAAAAGCATGTACTAATGATCTTGTGTGTTTTCCATCATCATGAACAATTATGGTGATTGGAGTTTGGTGTGTTGGTTATAAATAAACCTTTGTTTGGTTGAAATGTTTGCCCTAATTCATTAGAGATTATAAATTATTCACGTAGTATACTCTGAATTCAGACAAAAGTGTGAAATAGCTAAATCAAGAGTAATTACCTAGTTGCTGAGAAGAAAATAAATTTTTAGTTTCTTATAAACAAAAGAAACATTAAATAAAACTATATACTTGATTTTTTTTAATGTATACTCCTAATTTTGTCCTGAATTTTCACAGAAAATTTAAACACTGAAAAAACCTAAAATTTGTTTCTTTTGATAGATTTAATCAATAAAATAAAATCTTTTAAATGAAATGTTTGCTCAAATAACACTTAAAAATACGTATTATGCAGGCATGTGAGTTAAACATTTACCTCAAGTAGACACACGCCCTGGAGAGAACAATCATGGGAGAAGGAAGGGCTGCTTATACACAGGGAGACAGCTCAGGGGGCAGGAGAGTATGGAGGGATGGACACTGGGAAGAGGTAACTATGGGGAGGAAGTGGGAGGGGAGCTGTTGCATTGTTGTCAATGACATGAGACAAAGTATATGTGAACTGCTGTATGGAAAGTGAATTTGCTCTGTAAATCTTCACCCAAATCACAATAAAAAAAAATACGTATTTTGACTTTTTTTTTCCTTCCCATCTTAGATCTGGACAATTCCATTGATAAAACAGAAGCTGGAATTAAGGAACTTCAGAAGAGTATGGAACGCTGGAAAAATATGGAAAAAGAACACATGGATGCTATAAATCATGATACTAAAGAACTGGAAAAGATGACAAATAGACAAGGCATGCTACTGAAGAAGAAAGAAGAGTGTATGAAGAAAATTCGAGAACTTGGATCACTTCCCCAGGAAGCATTTGAAAAATACCAGACACTGAGCCTCAAACAGGTATATCTTGTTGGTTTTAAATTTGAAACCTTGTTGCAAATTTCCCTGTGTGTTTCAAAACTTCATTAGAATTTAGCTTATTTATTGATACAGTTTTTTCTCTTTATAGTTGTTTCGAAAACTTGAACAGTGCAACACAGAATTGAAGAAGTATAGCCATGTTAACAAAAAAGCTTTGGACCAGTTTGTAAATTTCTCTGAGCAGAAGGAAAAGCTAATAAAGCGGCAGGAAGAGTTAGATAGGGGTTACAAATCCATCATGGAGCTGATGAATGTGCTTGAACTCCGGAAATACGAGGCTATTCAGTTAACTTTCAAGCAGGTACGTTTCTCTCGCCAGTTATCACACATACCAGACAGAAGTTTCCAGTATTACTCAACTTGTAAAGGTTTTAAAGCTTTCTTCCCACTTGCAGGTGGACCTAATAAATGTGAACAAATCCACTATGTAAATTACTAACATAAAATTCTTGGATGTTTTACATAGCTCTTGTAAGGATCCAATCTGTAGTTATGCTGTCCTTGTTTATTACTTAAGATTAAAAAATACTTCCGATTGCTTTTCAGTATTTGTCTTTGTCTTAAGCAGTAATAGGTATAAGCCAAATTTATATTCGAGTTGACATCTTTTTTCTTTTCCTTAAGGTATCTAAGAACTTCAGTGAAGTATTCCAGAAGTTGGTACCTGGTGGCAAAGCTACTTTGGTGATGAAGAAAGGAGATGTGGAGGGCAGTCAGTCTCAGGATGAAGGAGAAGGGAGTGGTGAAAGTGAGCGAGGTTCTGGGTCACAAAGCAGTGTCCCGTCAGTTGACCAGTTCACTGGAGTGGGAATTAGGGTAAAATCCTTCACATTCAGTTTTTCTTTGAGCATTACCATAGAAGAGAAGCGTCTGCAGACTGTTTTGCACATTGACAGATTATATGCAGTGTGATCTTAAGAGGTGATGGTGATTCTTTAGGATATTAACTCATAAATATTTTCTCAGGTGTCATTTACAGGAAAACAAGGTGAAATGAGAGAAATGCAACAGCTTTCAGGTGGGCAGAAATCGCTGGTCGCTCTTGCTCTGATTTTTGCAATTCAGAAATGCGACCCAGCTCCTTTTTACCTGTTTGATGAGATTGACCAGGCTCTGGACGCTCAGCACAGAAAGGCTGTGTCAGGTACAGTTTCAGTTTTGTACTCGATAGTAGAAATTTACTTATAGATGATAGCTAGCTCACTACTTTGTAGTGATTTCGCATTGCTTCAGATATTTGAGGGGAGTCTTTTTAAAACGGCTTTTTGAAAATTTGCAGAGTTAAGTTCTGTGAATCAAGTGAAAATTATACTCTGAGTAAATTTCCATACAAGTCTCTCATTTTAAAACTTGTTTTCAGTGCTTGAACAACTGTCATAACCAGTATTGATTGTGTTGAAAGAATCTAATGTTATTTTTCAGTGAGTTGAGAAGATCTTTGGGGGAGTAGAGAAAGCAGAAGGAAGGTTGTTTATTGTATTTTGTGTAAGAAAATTTATTTTGCACTGGCATTTCTTATGCTGTGCCAGAAGTTGCTTCTTTATATTGAATGAAAACTTAGGAAGAACCTGAGGCTAAAAGATGTATCTCTAATTTAGAAGTCAAATTGGTCGTTTTTTGCAGATGAGTGTATTGAAAAATAAAATACAAACTGTTTGGCATTTTTGAATTTTAGTTAAGAGTAAAGACATTGCCTTTTTAAGTTTTCAGATCTACTGGAAAAAGGTGTATTACATTTTTCTTTTTACAGATATGATCATGGAGCTTGCAGTACATGCTCAGTTTATTACAACTACGTTTAGGCCTGAGCTGCTTGAGTCCGCCGACAAATTCTATGGTGTGAAGTTCAGAAACAAGGTAATATTTTTTACATGAAGTTTAAGTTCTGTGCAGTGTATTTAATCTGTTTTATTGAATTCTCGTTTTATGTTACCTTTCTTGAAAGGAAACTTAGTGAAAGTCATTGCTTCTATGATGAGGATAACTACATAAAGAAAAACTTTCCCTGTAGGTGCCTGTGAAGTTTAGCAGTTTTTATGGCATTCATTTCACTGATTTTGTTTATTTTTATACAGTTGTTCACAGTTGTATGCACTAATTTAGATTTGGCAGCACCAAACAGCTCTTCCTAGTCTCTTTGAGGTTCTTTGAAGAAACACCAGAGTAATTTGAGGTTTATAAAAACTGAGCAAAAGAGGTGGTTCAGGTATTTGGGCATTAGTACTTATCGAAATGTCTTTAGAGCATTGAAATGCAGAATATTTTAAAACCCACACATTTTCCTACTGTAACATTGAACCAACACCATTGTTAATAAGGTCTTACCAGTCAGTGCTTTAGAATGATTGGCTTAACACACAAAGTTTATTAAAAAAAAGAGCCGTGTATTTTAAATATTACACTGTATAATTCAGACATTGTTGCGTGTCTTTATTTAATATAAGATTTAACAGATTTTGCCTTCATATTCCTGCTCTTCCAGGTTAGTCATATTGATGTGATCACAGCAGAGATGGCCAAGGACTTTGTAGAAGATGATACCACTCATGGTTGATTAGAAGATGCTGCCTGCTGGCTTGGAAGATGTGTATAGTCATGTGATTCTCACACCCAGGAACTGTACATTTAAACCTAAATATTTGATCGTTACTAATAGTTTTCAGACTTAGAACATAAATATTCCTTTTATATTTCTGTCTCTGTATTTTATAAGATACTGTAATGTTACATTTCTACTTACAGTTTAAGAATTTTATTTCCAACACAATTTTTTTGTAAAGTGTCCTGCTCCTATTTTAAATCTTTTGAAATATGCTAAATATTCTTTCCTAATTATTTTATCTGCCTCTTTTTTTATAGCTTCAATTAAATAATTGGTTTTATGACCAATTTAGTGTTTTATGTGACTTTTCATTTATAGTTGTACTAATTAATAATTTACTTTTTAGTTTGCCTAAGAAAGGATTTGCCTTCACCTAAAGGAAGATTAAAAAAGAAATTTTAGTTTTATATTCTGTTACATCAAGTGGTTTCCAGTCCTGGCTAAACATTTGAATCCCCTGGGAGGAAGTTTTTAAAAATGTAACATTGCTGGAGTCTTTTACCTAGATGAGTTGAATCAAAATCTTTAGGGGTGGGGATCCAGTCATTGGTGTTCTCCCGAGTGATTCTGATGTTTAATGAGGATTGAGGACCCTTGCTTTAACTTGGTATAACAGTCCTTTAAAAATTATTTTTATTTTGGATGGCAATGTATTTAATAGAAATTGTGTATTTGGAAGGTGAACTGTAACTGGGAACACTAAAGCTAGAAACTTGAGCCCTGAAACATCTTTGTTCTTCTGGATATATAAAGTTTTAGAAACTTTTGTTACCAAAACCTTGGGTTTTCTCTCCAGAAGAGGTTTTTGTCTTATTTTTGTTGTTGTTTATTGTGCTTTTTAACTGTTTTATTGAGATAAAATTCATGCATCTTAAAATTCATCCATTTAGAGTATGTAGCTCAGTGGTGTTTAGTATATTCACAGTACTGTGCAGTCATCTCTACAGTCTCATTTTAGAACACAATTCCTCAGAATAAACCCTGTGCTTGTTAGCAGTCACTCCCCATTTCCCCTTCCCTTTATTCCTGACAACCACAAACCTACTTTGTCTTAAGAGATGAGCCGTTCTGCGTATTTCATATAAATGGAATCATATAAAATACGGTCTGTTGTGACTGGCATCTTCCACTTAGCATGTTTTTAAGGTTCATCTATGTTGTAGCATGTGTCTATTAGCACTTCATTTCTTTTTATTGCTGAATAATATTCCATTATATGAATATATCACATTTTGTTTACCCTTTCATTGGTTGATGGATATTTGAGTAGTACTAATTCTTCCACTTAGAGATTTTGTAATAGTGTTACAAATTTATTACATTCACCATAGTAGGTTTGAAAAATACAACATATTTGTGAATCACTTTATCATCCAGAGTACCACTATTAACATTTTGGGGTATTTCCTTAAAATCTTCACGTGGAATTGCTTATTTTTATTTTTGTACTAGGTACCTAATTTTATATCCTGACTTCTTCACTTACTACTACAATATAAAATACTCCTCTATTTAAACTCTTCAGAAACAAAATTTTAATAGTCACACAATATTCTATCAAACAGAAGTAGCATAATTTACTTAAAAATCCCCTGTTGAATGCTTAGATTACTTCCTTTTAGCTATTATAGCAAAAGCAAACTCAAAAACTGATTATTGCTTTTCCTTATAACACTTTGGAAATTTAGGAGTATTTTCTCAAGATTCTCAGAAATCAGAGTAGGAACATTTATAAGTGTATAATTTTTGGACTTTTAAAAAATATGTAAAATATGGAGTGATTAGTATGGTAAGTAGGTTAAAGATTTTTCTACTCAAATGAAAATATTTATTTTCTTAGAAAATAATGCAACTTCAGTTGTGAAAACTATTTTTTATAAATGGTATAATAGTTACACTAAAGCTAGAAAATTGAGCCCTGAAACATCTTTGTTCTTCTGGATATATAAAGTTTTTTTTTTTTTTTTT